GCACCTTTCTCATGACCCCGGCTGGGTCTCTAGACCCCAACGAGCTTCCTGCGCTGATCAAAGCAAAATACTTGGAGACATTTGTCACACAAATGCTACCTCAATACCCAGTACTTGCTGTAACGAGCCAAATCGACATTGAAAGTCTTCAAAATGGGAAATCCTTTGCATTCAGGGCTATCATGACCACAGCATGCAGTATATCTGACCCGAAGTCGTTTAGAACTTCTGCACAATGATAATGTCCCTTTACTCAGCCATGCAGTTGTTGTGGAGGGCCGCAAAAGTATGGATCTACTACAAGCACTTCTGATTACTGCAACATGCGCATGTCCGCCCGAGAACTTACCGAACCTAAACATCTATCAATGGAGTCATATGGCATGCACAATGGCTCTGGAGCTTGGATTGGGTGGCAGGACCTCATTGCAGGCTCAGGCTCAAAATGTCTCCGAATTTGTTACAGACCCTTCCGAATCTATGATGGATCGGTGTCGCACAATGTTTGGAGTCTACCTGACGTCGTCAAGGTTAGCACCCCGAGTCCAGAGATATATAGATTTGCTGAGGTGTCCCTAGATTAGCTGTGAGCTTTCGACGACAGCGAATGCTATCATTCAGCCCGCTCTGACAAACCGCGCTCAACGTATCGCCCCTAATCCACAACAAATTATGAGTTCACGGTACATACGGGCACTTTATTCATTCATCGAGGGTTGCCAGTTCATTCTAGACGTTTTCTTACACGCCGGTACAGCAACACTCCGTGTTTAACCCAATTTGACAATATTTCGTGCGCCGTTTGCATTCAAGGCTCTAGCGATGCTAAATAAGAGAGTTCGAGATCTCAATGACAACGTCGTATTATAGGAGTGGTTAGAAAGACCTGAATAGATATATAGTTAGCTGATTCTATTTAGATAGTTACCTAATATCTATGTACTCTTAATCTATAATAGCTAGTTTCATCAAAGGTGTCTATATTCTGAACGTCAAAATCGGAGCCTTCTGTCATGGATGAAGCTATCCTGGGTTAGGATAATGCTGCTAAGCTTGAGCAAAGTATAAGTGGGTATAATGAGATGGCTCCTGAATTAGTGGTGAGAAAGAAAAGACTATACTGTGTAGATGATGATAGGTCTTCGGGGTAGCCTGCAGTAAAGCTGCGGTATATCGGCAAAGATCGATTTTAGATAGTACTCGAGGCTGAATTTATCGACCTCAGATCGGATAACGATGTCAATGTCCATCCCCTAGCATACCTGATTGTCAAACTTCAAAACTCGATGATAATGGTGTCTCGAGAGCTTCTGAAAACTCTACGCCTTATCATATGGCTTAATGACGATAGAATTAATGCTATTCTTGGGATAGTAGGAGCGTTGAGTCGTGGTAAGATAAAAGCTGTGGACTCTCTCTTTCTGGAGAATGTAGTTGTACTATGGTAGACGTTTGATGGTGCTAAGGTGCTCTTACCTATGAATATTGATAGGAAATATTGGGTAATAGGCTTGGTTAGTGATGATCAGAATACGGTTACTCTATACGACTCTCTTCCTATGCCCGGAGCAAGGCAGGCCGTAGAACGGTACGTTGGCATCTTCTACTCAACATACTCTTGCAGGCTTGATGAAATGCCTCGGATACGTTTCACTTCGCCAGCAACTTAGGGTAACTGCAACGACTGCGACATCTTTTCGTTTGATTCAATGATGAATAGATTTCACGATACCGCTGCCGGCATCAGCCAATCCTTAAACATTTCGTCCTGAGATGTCAGCCAGGCCATGTCGAGAGAATTCGAATCCAGGAGTGAGTTCCAATCCACTGACAACGGCTCCGCCACTCCAGAATCGAAAGCCAGATTGCCATCAGCCAATGTCCCGTCAGAAATAATGCCCCAATTCCCTCCGGGCACTAGATTTCTGGTCAGCTTCTAGAGTGATCAGCGTAAGGGTGCATTCGTCTGGGATATCTCACCTCTGGCTGCTTCTGCTCGCTTCATGACACACCGCCGGAATAGCTCTAAAGCCTCAAGCGCCTTGTCTGCCGTAGGCACGTGCTGGCGGTAGAACCGAAAGATCTGAACGGCCTGATCCCACGAGGTCCACCCGGCGTCGCTGTCCAGCCTGATCCCCAGCTCCGGGCAGAGAGTTGCCGCGACGATCACTGAGCCTGCAGCAAAAGTGACTGCGCCAATCATCAGCCCTCTGAGTCATCGTTAAAGGGTGGGTTTAGCCCTACAATACAACACATGCCAGGGCGAGGTGCGATTTCTGATGCCCAGCATGGCCCCATGCAGCATGTTGAGTACTTCTTGCGCCACGGAGACGCACAGTTTGCTCATGTCTTCCCTGAGCCGCTGATCGAGAATCTCTGAGACCGATGACGGAGGACCGGACAAGGGTGCGTTGGGTGCCGTTCTCTTTTGTATCTCCGCTAGCAAGAATGGTTGTAGAAGCCAGAGGCGGAGAAACAGGGCCCTTTGATGTTTGGCGAGTTGTTAGCATTGTGGATATGAATCAAGAGTAAGTTGATAAAACCCACCTTGCCCGCAGCGTATTTGCTTGCATTTCAATGGAGTCGCGATACCTGCATGCTGGAATATAACCTCCCGGCTTCAAGAAATCTGGAAGGTCTTCAAAAAGCCGGTCTACTTCTGAAAGTATATCTATAGCTATGCCAAGCCCTTGGCTCGAGTATCGGCCCTTTTTTTGCTGGTCATAAGCCTTTTCGAGCTCATGTCGCCTGTCTCCAATGCTATAGAGCTTGTAAAAGTAGATGTTGCACGTCATGAGTGATGGCACTCCTTCTGGCTGGCGGCCTTCTTCGGTTGAAGATAGATACTCGTCATCGATCTCTGCTAGATCCAGGACAACTTGTGTCTTTGGTATCAGTGGTGTTTGATTAAATGTGCCAGCGGTAAGACTGTAGTCAACATAAGACGTAAGTCAGGATGTCATGAACGTGGCAGCTAAACCTAACCACGTACCTATCCATTGTCTTGCAACAATACCAGACCCTGCGACGCATCTCTCGCGTTAATTGGTCCAGAGGTACCATATGTTGCTTGGCTGCTGCCAACCCGATAGCCTCCGCTGCCTTGATCGCAACAGATAAGAGCATCCAGCAGCGGTCGGCATATGGACTGTATAGCAGATAGGAGCTCCGCAGCACGAATAGCTGCACCACCGACAGCGTATATTTGTCCACGTTCTCAACTGACACCAGCTTAACAGACCGCTGGTAAAATTCGTCCGCAAGATTCCGGTCCTCCACTCTGTCCTCGCTCGACTCGCTGTGCTGGCAGCCGAGAGCAAGCAACATATTTAGTGTCGCGTAGAATACTGTGGTCTCCGGTCCGCGGTCTTGCCGGTGTTGCTGCTGATCGACAGGTTGCCAGAGGCGCTCGTACTCAGCGGTAAAGGACGGCCGATGGAGCACTGGCAGTAGTACGTGATTGTGATGCCAGTACCAACTCAAGATTCTATCAGCGAATTGGCGTGGAGGAAGAACCATATTCACCATCTCGCACACCGGAACACCTGGCTTGGTGCCGTCAGTATCGAACGTGGTAGCAGGAGGCGTCTGAAACGGGTTTCCAACAATAGCGAAGCCAGCCTCGCTGGGGCCGGCGGCAACAGATGCGACGCTGTGCACGAAACTGTTCTGTGTAGATGGGTAGCCAGTTGGGTTCTGATCACGAACACGAGATATATGAACATTTTGCGACCAATCATTCGATACCGTGCTGCTGTTGTTCTCTGTATGCCGACACTTACTATTAGTATTCATTAATTCTTCATTCAAGTGGTATCTGGACTTTGATATTAAATGAAGAGATCAAATCAATGTACCTGACACTGAGGCCGTGTTAACTGGATTAAAGTGTCCAGATCGTCCTTGAGATCCAGCTTCTAGCATCTGTAATCGTTTCTCGAGGCTCACGAGTGTTCTAGTATTGGGCAGTGATTAGCCCTATGCGCCGAGCAGCTGGCCTAGGACCATGCAGAACCTACGGCAGTGACGATTTAGCTGATTTGTCTTGATAGCCACATCTATCATGACGCCCTCTTAAGAAACATTGGGTGCAATAGGGCCGGCGCCCATCGCATCCTGTCTTTCGTGCTCTGCATGGGTTGCAGGCCAGCTGCGCCTTCCGCCGCTTGTATGGACGGGGAAGCTCCGCACCGGCGTTCAGGTCTGGCGTAGACATGTGCCTTGATAATCTTTATATTATAAAAGAGAATAGATATCCGAATAAGATATTATTGGATTGTCCGGGCCCTCAGTCGCTGCAATTTTTAACTGACTGTAAGCAGGGCGTCTAATTTACGTGGACGGACATAAGATAAGCCGATCTCCCCGATCATCCCGCGGCCCCATCCGATCATTCCGGCCACTTCTGACCAATCAGCGCTAGTTTACTTACTGAATCTCCTGGATGGTATCGGAAACGTACAGCATCGGTCCATTCGTCCCGATCGCTCGGTATGTAGTCAGCATATATATTTAAGTGCGGGCTATGGTATATATAGCTTACGGCGCACTCTGTGAATACAGCCATGAGCTCTATAAATCTACTTCCTCATGCTATGCACTCTACCATCTATTAAGTTCAGCTATATCTTGATACTGTTATTCACTTATTGTTTATATCTAACTGAGGAATATGGCCGATTATCTTGCTGATTTCGAACGTATTGATCTGATATACAAAACGCTGAACGAAGTCGACTTTGAGGTGGCAGTCCTGCTTCCCAAATCTCTTGCTTCCTCCCGACTAGATATCACATGCCCATTAGCAGCTCATTTCCACGGCGGTGGTCTTGTCATCGGGACGGTTTTGGATCCATTCTTCACTGCCAAGTGGTAAAACTCACCCTGGGCAGGCGGTCTGTCAACGATCAGCACACCGCTAACCATGACGACAACTACCCAGGTTCCTAGAGCTCGCAGTGCGCGAAAACGCCATCATAGTCTCTCCTACCTACCGCTTGATGCCCGAAGCCCGCGTGTTAGATATCATCGACGATATCAAGGACTTCTGGGCCTGGGCTCGCTCAGACCTACCCTCCGCAGTGGCCGCCAAGTGGCCGCATATCACGCTTGACACGGGCCGCACCGCGGCCTACGGCGGCTTCCTGGCCCTCCAGTCGGCATTCCTCTGCCCAGAGGCTGAGATCAAGATTGTTATGACGCAGTACCCTGGTCTGCACTGGGATGTAGACCCGGTTAAATGGGAGCAGATTGAGGAGAGGAAGGCCACTGCACCGGCCGAGACGCACGCCATCGTTGACACGTACATGGCGGGGATCAAGCCCGGCGCCATCCGCCTCAAGACGCCGTTTCCGGAGAAGCTGGAGCTCCTCAAAGCCTTGGCTGCGACGGGAAGGTACCGCGAGAACAAAGGACACGACGAGATAATGTCGTTGGACTATGCGATGCGTATTAATGAGACACTGCCTCCAATGTGGATTGCTCAAGGGTCGGAAGATACATTCGTGAGTCCACATCCTCGGCCGGTTCCATGGGACCACTATGAATCTATTTCATGACATAGGCTAACGTATGATATGATTTTTCTCTAGGTTCCCAAAGAGGGCAACGATGAGATGGTTCGCTGTATCCGTGAAGCCCATCCTGAAGTGCCTCTGCACTATGTAATCCAGCCTGGTGACCACGGCTTCGACGTTCCTTGTGGCCTTGACGAACCTTGGGCGGCTGAGGGAGCCGATTTTGTCAAGAGGTATTGGCATTTGGCCCCCAAGTTGTGCTGAGCCAACTTCTAAAGACTCCTCCGGTCAGCCAGCCACCTCTATTGTCCGAATTGGCATTCTGGTATCCAAATCAAGTAAATGTTCGTGGGGGAAAGCTGCAACACCCGAAGTCTTGTGGCGCTTTAGTAGAGCTAGTTTCTCCAGCATCACAATATACGAACGCGTTTCCCCAATATGACAATATTTATTCCCTTTTGATGAGCGTTAAATTTCAACGAGATTTCATGAAAGAGTGACAACATTCGTACCGGTGATAAACTCCTGGAGAGCCGATTTGCATTTCCGGTGGGGTTCGTTTGCCATTCAGTCTCTTCTCGTGCGTCCTCAACTCCGCAATAGTCCACAAGAACATTGTTACAACAACGGACTGCGGAGCAAGCCGACCAGTATATAATTCCTCTATAGAAGATGAATCACGAAGAACGCGGAGGGGTTCTTTTCTCCTGAGGCAATTGGTTTTGCGGCCCGGTTGTGCCAAGTCTGCCCAGCGCAAAGCGCAGCCCTACAGTAAGCCCCGCGCCATGTAGTAATTATGCATGTCCTTCGGAAGAAGAGGAGGACACAGCTTTTTGTCAGGGTCCTCATTCTCGACGCTTGCGACATGTTTTGTTATAGCCAGCGGCGATGGTGACAATGATTTATTGGTACGTTGAGAGCCCGTAGATTGGCCTGCGGTGTGACGTCAATCTTGCACCTGTAAGTCTATGCGCTCGCTTTTATAGACCTAGATATACTTGGGGAGTCTAGGCAGGTAGGCAGCCAGTGGGCTCTAAGCATCACAGCAACCAACCTAAACCACCTGAGGTGGGGTCGGTTGCTGGCAAAGCGTGTCGTCGATGTTCGTAGCTGAGTTAATACAATCGTCTCTCCTTCTGATGTAGATCGACGACTACTGTAGATCAGGCGAGCTATCGACGAAGGCTGAGAGTCCAACCCAATCGAAGCTGTCTCCAGTGTGCTTCAAGTCATCATGCCAGGCAGAGACAGAACTCTGCCCATAACACGAGACTGGTCGCTGGGATGATGATCGTGTGATCCGGTGTGCGACGTCATTCCGGAACCTCTGGGCTACGGGCGGGTATCGTCGCGACGCGTTCGGACACGTGAAAGTCAGGGACTACGGTGAAGACTTGCAACTGCCTCACCTCGTTTCTCCAATCAGCTGAGCCGGGCAGCCCTACAGGATTGCAGGTTTCCGTTTCACCTAGTTCCAGGTTTGTGCAACGAGATACAAGGTCATTTTGATTGGCTTATGACCCCTGCCTCCCACCCCTACCTTACAAGAACCCGCATGAATTAGAATTGAGAAGACATGACCTAAAGCTAGAGTGATTAGCCTCCTTGTCCTAGAGCTAAAGCATCACTCAATTAGAAACCGGTGAGCCGTAGCAAAATCAGACAATAGAAGCTGTATATTAATCAGTCTTGAAGTCTTGACGAAGCCCCTGCTGCTTGCAGCCGCTCGACGACCTTGAGGTGGCCTCCACTAGCTGCCATCTGTAGCGCTGTCCAGCCAGACTGATCAATAGTATCGACGGCAGCCCCGGCTTCGAGGAGCCGCTTGACGACCTTGAGGTGGCCTCTACCAGCTGCCAGCCGTAGCGCTGTCCAGCCATACCGACCAGCAGTATCGACGGTGGCCCCAGCTTCGAGGAGCCGCTCGACGACCTTGAGGTAGCCTCCAATAGCTGCCATCTGTAGCGCTGTCCAGCCAGACCAATCAGTAGCATCGACGGTGGCCCCGGCTTCGAGGAGCCGCTCGACGACCTTGAGGTGGCCTCCTCTAGCCGCCCTCTGCAGCACTGTCTCGCCATACCAATCAGCAGTATCGACGGTGGCCCCAGCTTCGAGGAGCTTATCCACAACAATCCTGTGCCCATTCTCGGCAGCATACCATAGTGCTGTTCGGTCGACGGTGTCCTTCATGTCTGGATTCTGTCCAGATTCAAGTATGATATTTGCCAACTCGTTTACTCCCAGGTACGCTACTAAATGTAGTCCCGTCGTACTCTTTGGAGCCGGATTGTAATCGTGGTATTTATATCGCTTGTCGATCATGAGTGCTTGAACCGATGCCTCGACTTTGACTTGGTCCTCGAGAAATTTCACGATCCTCTGAACTGTTTCAGTGTCATTGGGCCCATGCTGTGCCCAGTGATGTGCGACGTAGTCGTAGAGCGGATTGGACAGCAACCGTTGCTCAAACTCTTCGTCCGTCTTACAGGATCCGGTTCCAAAGACGCTGAACGAGAGATAGGTGACACAGGTAGTTGTGATTGCAGATTCTGCCCCGGGAAACCACTGCTCCCGAGTCTGTATGAGATATTTTTGCGTTGTATAGTGGACTAGACGGATGATATTGCTTTCTTCGTCGATTGCCACCAAACCAGCACATGCAGAGACCATATCATTGACGTGTGGTAGGTCTCCTTCATCAAGTCTATCCTTTTCAGGATCAGTTGCAAGAGCATGTTGAAGTTCCGACGTCGTAAGCTGTCTCTTGGCGTATGTAACCCATGAAAGCACGCCGAGTGCAAGCTTCTTAAAGCCCGGCATCTGTCCATTGATTCTCTCGAGAGCTTGCGTATATGCATGATTCAACACTTCTGTTCTCTCTTCCCCATCTAACCCCCCTCTCTGCTGGCTGAAGGTATCTAATGCCCTTCGAATGCCATTTAGCGTCAGCTTATCCTCTAGTAATTTGAGGTAGATTTGTGCTAAGAGAAACCTATGTGATTCAGTACCCAGACTCGATTTGCTGTTAGCTCAGAACATACATTCCATCAACAGCTTCTGAGATCCTAGTTGTGATCTCCTCTTGTAACTGTTTATCTGTTTGGACAAACGATGGTAGATGTGACATGTGCCCTTGCACATATCGTGCCACGTCGTCGCGGCTCGCACGGATCTCCAGTGACAAGCTACTTATGTCCTTAAAGCGATCACGGATCTCTGGAATGAATCTAGATGTTGCAAATATGTTTATACTGTGTCTTGTCTGAAGCCTAAAGAGCTCGGAGACAAGCCTCGCTCGACAACCCTCATCCGTCTGGCATTCGTCAAGAGCGTCAACGACGATAAACACTCGTGGGCATGTTGCCACGACAGACTGTAGAACACCAAGGATCTCATCACACAATGGTCTTGTCTTTTTCTGTTTGTGCCGATCATAGAGATCTCTTATTGCTCCTGGTAGGGAGTGCTGAGTCCCGGCTAACTGTTTCAATACGCTTGCTAGTAGGTGTTCGATCTTCTGCTCATTTTTCCGTTGATAGTTACAGTAGATATATGCGATACTGGCCTTTAGATTGTCGTGAAACCTTGAATGTAGGTCGTCAACAACGATTGATGTGAGAGTCGTCTTTCCCGCTCCAGGGATACCTGGACAGAACAGTGTCTGGTTGCCTGTAGATAGCCAACCCTTAAACTCGTCTGAGTCGAGCAGCCACTGCCCGGTTCCCGGCTGTCGTCTTCGCAGAAAGTCACTCTGCTGTGGGCCGTAGTCGATGGGTGTAAGCCAGTCAAGAATCTTACGGTCTTCCTGGTCATTGATCTTTACCTTGACTTGTGCAACATCTATAGCAGTGGCAGACATAGTTTCAATAACTATATTATAGATTAGAAATAGACATTTAGCATGATCAACATAACTAACCCTGCTTAAGTAGATCCTTAACTGGGCGCTCTCCATCAACATCATCTGGTTGTACATATTGCAGAAGCTCCTTCGCATATGCTGCCGCCACTGCTGCCGCGTGCTCTTGCCAGGCCTTGTTCTTGTGCGAGTCCGCATAGTCGCAGATACCCCGGATGACGAGACATGGAAAGCCATCCATCAGCCCTGCTGCTTCCATCTCGACACAGAGGACTTGACCACCGAGGTCCTTATTGAGCTTTTTTCGGAAGATAGCGTCCTTGATCACCCGGTTACCCGATGCAATCAGACCATAGTGTATGCGCATGTCCCTAGGCGTCTGTTTCACGATCTGACTCTTGTCACAGAATCGGCAGGCTTCTTTTTCTTCATCTTCATCATCTTCTTCGTCGTCGTCGTAAGTCTCTTCGGTGCTAGTTTCATCTGGGGCAGCTTCACTATCCGTGGCAGCCTTGCTAATATGGCCATGGCCTGCCTTGAACAGTATATCCTTGAGGGAGTCGGACCGGAGGTATTTCGGCGCTAGATTCGGATATCTCTTCGCCATCTGGTCTAGGTATTGCGGTATCTGAGACCCGGTCAGTTCCTGTTCCGTTTTCAGCCTCCCTATAGCCGTCCGCAGCGAGCTGGGTGGTTTGTTCAGGGCTCCAGTCCGCTGGAAGCTGCCTCCTTCAGTCGCCTTCCCCATATCCCACTGAACAACCCCAGGGTATTCGCCGACAGGAGTGCTGACCACGACGTCGCCCAGTCGGACCTTGGGCGGGATGCCTCCACCAATACCCACCATCAAGCCAACCCTCATGGAGGGAAAGGCGGAGATCATATGCGTCGCGACAGTAGCCGCAACGTTATTACCGATCTCGCCTTCGGGTAGGCAGGCGATGACAACATTATGCTTGCCGATAGATCCCAAGATGTATGTGTTAGGGTCCCTGGACGACGTCTTGGGGAGATCGCCATGTCGACAATCCAGCATGGCCGTCGCCGCAGTCTGCTCCTTCGACAGGGCGCAGACCCATCCCACGGTGTAGTCGCCGTGGGTGTACTTGGACAGAGGTCCGTCGCTGCTCTTCGTCTTCTCCGTGCCAGTTGACGAAGGCCCCTCATCGTTCTCAGATTCCCTATACCGCTTCGACATCGCGGAGTGGCTGGGCAGGCTTCAGTTGGACAAGTCGATACGTGCACGTCGCCGGGGAAAAGGGAGTGTCTCTTGGTGTACGAGCCCGAAAATGATGCTGATCGGAGGCAGGCAGAGGTAATTTGGAACGAGAGGGCCAAGCGAGCGACAGCGAATATATGTGCGTGAACCCCACCGCCCTCCTTGGATTTTCAGCTGAGGCATCACTGCCTGGACGGCGCGTCTGCAGCCAATCACTCGCCAGCAGGGTTCCCTCTCTTGGTCGGGGCGTTTCCGGGGGCGTTTTTGCGGTTCTTCGCATCTCTGGAGCCTCGTCTGCTTTTCGACCTCGTTAACGACCGACAGCCCAGAAAAGTATGAGACGGTCGTGAGGTGCACTAGGGTGCAGGCCTCGTTCGGATCAGCAAGTCGAGCCGACAATCGTGTAAAGTAGCTTTCCAGATTTGCGCCGTTCCGGGGGACCTGCCGGGCACCTCGAGACTTTGACAGCGTCAGTGACGAATTAGCCAAGGGGGAGGTATGCCCGGCGGGAAGGTAAGCGTTGCCGTGCAGCCCTCGTTTGGATAGCAGTGAGCTGACAGCCATGTCGGTAGCAACCCCCGTTCGCGACCGAGGTTAGCAACCTGCAGACATCTTGATTCGGCCCTCTTTCGATGGCTCGCTGGGCCTCCGACAGCCCCTCCGCAGTTTAGCGACCGTTGGTGCAGGCAAGCAGTATGCACAACAGTACGCGATAAGAACACCGACAGCCGGTGGGGGGACAGGTACAAGTGTGTTCCGAGCTTGTGGCCTAGAGATGACAAGAGACAACATATATACGATAGAGTGCCACGGCAGATGGTCGTGCCGGCAGATGGTCCTCGGAAGACAGTATAGATCAGGGAGGAAACATGTCTCCAGTGACCATTACTAAGAACATGCCGGCGGCTGATGGCTTATAACGACACGAATAGCAAGGGAGCGGCATGCCGATTCGTCGTCTCGGCACCAGGCATCGATCCGACCGGACGAGTCCGTTCAGAGTCGCCGCTCAGGAGGCAGACCGCTTCGGCCCTGCCGTTGCGAGCGGCATTCCGCACCGTGCGAAGGATGTCTGAGGGATGTAGGGACTCGATGATACGGCAAAGTGTTCTTTGAGGTGCGACGCGTGCGGATGATCCATGTGAGCGAGTCCACTTACACCGCACAGAGGTGGAGAACAGCGTCCTGTTGATCAGTGACTAAGCAAACTGATGAAGGATTGTGATCCAGCCGAGGAAGGATGTCCGACTCTTTGACACCAGGCCCCTGTAGAAGTTCGCAGAGGGCCATCCTGTAAAGAGCCATCTGTGAATGGTAATCCTGTTAGAGCCTATCCTGAAATCTGTTCTCGGATGTCGGTGTGTGCATTCTGCTATCTGATTTCTGGATTCCTGATTCATGGTTAGCTCGTACACTGGCCTTAAAAATGCTCACCTCAGGCATCGTGCGTTGGGGTGACTAAAGCAGCGCGACTTCAGGTTGAGCAACTACACATTTACCTTCTAATTACCTGGGATTACAAGTGACCTGACACAATTATCCTATGCTCCTGCTCTACACCGTCGTGGCCGCCAGTTACATTATCACTAACCCTGAAGGGTCAGATTATAAGTTAGTAGCAAGCTATCACTTTTATATGCCACTATAGCGGCTAGAGCTCTAGATATGAGTTCGAAGTTCAGCCAAAGGTCAGAGGCGAAAATAAACGGTTTGGTTGGGGTGTTGCATTTATCAAAACAGTTCGCCCACATCGGTGGGCCTTGGTCTTTTCATCCAATCAGTCTGCGGGTGTGACAAGTACCCGGAAGCGCCCGGGCCGGACCAAGTTACAAAGAAGATATAAAAGGCTGCAAAAGATGTTGGAAACAAGTAAGTACATACTGATGCCGTTAGGACCAGGGAATCTGTTTGGATTCACGTCCATACTCCGCCATTTCACACCTGCTCGGCCATATTGGCGAATTTTAATGATGACCTCTACCATTCAAGGCAGCGCGGCAGTGCCGCTTCCGTGGCACGCAGCTTATCCGGCACCAAAGGTAGAGGCGCCATCTGTAACACGAGAGTCGGTATTAGAGATGCTCCGTGATGGCAATAACGTTGCTGGCAAGGACTTTGTCCTTGTGGATCTTCGCCGAAGCGACCACGAGGTATGTTTTGTCACGCCATTTCCAAACAGGCCTGAAGCACAATAACCTGTTGATTTGATTTGTCTGCGAACAGGGGGGAACAATTCGCGGGTCCATCAACTTGCCGGCCCAGAGCCTCTGGCCCACCATTCCAACCGTCTATGAGGTGTTCAAGGCAGCCGGTCTACGTAAGGTCATTTGGTTTTGCGGTAGATCGCATCTCTGAAATAAGAGAGGTTGTGGGTGGGCTAATGACTCTCGTAGGGTCTTCACGTGGTCGAGGTAATCGTGCTGCCAGCTGGTTCGCCGACCATATTGCGGAACGGGGAGACACCCATATGCAGAGTCTAGTGCTTCTCGAGGGTATCAAGGGCTGGGCAACTGCCGGGAAGGAGTACGTGCAATGGATGTATGAATATGATCGGGCTGTCTGGGATGAGAGCAAATCCTAGAATTGGGCGCCAATTGTTGGGGGCAAGTGAACGGGTTATTCAGATTTCTACAGCTCAGCGTCATGAGTACGCCGAGGAACTTGAATGCTGAGACTTTCTTCGGGTTATTGTCGTCTGCTTTTCCTGGCGGCTGCTTCTCGACGTCTTGCGGTTGGGGTTCTTGTGCGGATATGATCGTTTTCCCGTTGTAAGCTGGCTAGATAATGGTATATTCGTTTGGAATCCCACTAGACGGCCTATCTTTCCATAGCCACAGGATGATTATCGAATAGCCAGCACTCTTCGGAGACCGGGTGGAAACCTGTTGAGCCCGCAGCTGACAACTATAAAAACAGCGCAGTTGTCCCCAGATGCCTTCCCAAGCCACCAGCCGTAAGCTGACCCGGAGCTTAGGCGCGGTATATTTCGCCCGAAAGATAAAGTCCGACTCCTCGAGAAGGCGACGAGCAAATCGATGTTTGCATCCGAATCATTGTTGGGGTGCCAAGTAGCCGAGTTGATCTCTTTCCGGATGGACCAATGAAAACCCGGGTGTGACACGCTCCAGCATTGGTCACCTTTGAAAAACATCGACCGGTCCCTACCTGCCAGGCTGCTAAGTGCACGCATTGGTAATGATGGGGGGTTTGTCTGGGTGTATGTCATACTCGGTCCTCTCCAATGATTCATCAGCGGGTAGGTGTCATACCTTCCATATGATTGGTTAACTCGCCCCATGATTTTGAGGACACATACAAAACAAGTTGACCAGCTCGTAAAGACAGTTGGAAAGAACCGTCTCCGGTCCACGCAATATCTTCATCAGCACTCAAGTACGAGCCTCAACAGAATCATAAATCAAGCAACGTGGCACCGCAAGCACCATGACCACGAAAGCCGACCTCCCAGACGAGAGTGAGATCGCCGGCAGGGGGAGCAATGCTCCGAGTCCTACTTGTATTTCGAGCCCGAATCTATTCGATCGGTCAACAAGGCCTAGGAGGAATGGAAATAGTCCAACCTGGATCACTCCATGGATAAGGGAAGAGTTGGTTGACTATATACCTGCCGTGGAACAATGTCATCTTATGGGGCTACAGAGTCTTTGGAGACCTGGCCATGTACCATGAGGAAAGGGGCGAGAACCCAGTTGACAAAGATGCATCCTGTACTGTCTAGCGGCAGTCTTTCTTAACCAATTCATTCCCAGCCTCGTACCCGCCTCCCATGGCATTTTCTACTCTATGAGGTCAATACTGATCCAGCACACACATTTGGCTTGTTAGCCATGGTTTTTTAAGTGGTGTGGCATATCCTCTGGTCTCAGCAACTTGAGCGCACCGGTTAGTTCATGAAGAACAGTTTCCACTACGGCGCCATCACCCCACCACCCACCCACCTTCTAGTAGTACAATGTGTAGGTTGTGGTGTGCTTCGTACGCCAAGGATACTGCGCGATCATTGCCACTAACTCTTGCGCTTGGCATAACCAAAGAACTTGAGGTGTACCGGACACGTGGGCGCTGCGGCAACCAATTGCGTGCAGGCGGCCTGTTGGCGCCAAAAGCTGTACGCTTTTCAAGTCGTGAGTGGGGTTTCGAATGTCGCGGTGCCTTTCGATGATTGCGTTCCCTGTCTTATCCAAAGTTTAGTGAAGCTGAGACGGTGTTGTCAACCTGAGTCTCTGCGAGTCATTTGAGATCGACAGAAGCCAATTGAGTTACCACTGACGACTGCAAATCGGCACCACACCGAGCGTTTAGAAGGGGATCGAAGCTACTTAGGGTTATTACGATTATATATGACCATATATGACTGCACATCATGGGCATCATTCCATTTCTGGACTTGAACGAGAGCAAACTGGGTAGACAGGTTTGGAACACGATTCAGGAGAGCTGGTATCTGGGTTTCACGTCGTTCGGAGGGCCACCTGTGCATTTCAAGATTGTGAGCATCAAGTAGCCTAGCGATTCTTGTCCGGCAGACTGACTAACATTAAGGGTCTAGTTCCATGACAAGTTCGTCGATAAGGTGGAATGGGTTGACGAGGGGGTATATCAGGAGCTATTCAGTGTGTGCCAGGCGTTCTCCGGGCCCGGCAGCACAAAGATGCTCTACTGTATCAATCTCATGCATGATGGTTTTCTCCCAGCTGTACTGGGGTTCTTCATCTGGAGGTAAGCCACACGCAACTATGCTTCCATCGGCATCGTCACCTTCGTGTTGTTTCCTGACACGAACGGCCAGTCTTCCGGGCGCATTTGGAATGTATGGCTTGTCCATCGGAGTTTCAAACATCGGTGACACTCTCCCGGCTCCCGTCTATGCGCTCCTGTCCGGCCTCAATGCCGCCACGGTGGGCATCATCGCCCTAGCTGCGGTTGAACTGGCGCACAAAGCTATCACGGACCGGCTG